AGTGCTCACATTTTTGGCCTTTTTACAACATTATGCATTTGTTTTGACATCCTTGAGATGAATTGATTTATAAATGTTTTTATATTTTTTTATTCCATTGCTAAGCTTTATAGTCATGAATTCTTATGTTTTTTTTTTGTGTAAATTGATAGAACTTTGTGGATAAAAATGAATTACCTTACATGCACTCGTTTAGCCACTTTAGATTTTACCTTGACATTTGGCTTGGCTATCAATTTGATAAAACTGGATCTTAGGTGATCTTATATTTGATTATGGAAGTTATCTCATTAAAAATGTATCTAGATTTGTGTTTGATAATGTGAATTTTGTGATGATATATGATCTTGATGATTTATGAGATTTCAAATTATTAAGAAAAAATATTGTTAATTTGTTGTGATCTCTTTTGTTATTGAAAATACATTTAGTTGATCTTGTTGCATGTAGGATAATTTTGGGGTATTTACCAAAGTGTTATAAATGTAAATATCAAACTTTGAAGAGTTAAACATTTACATACATAAGAATTGTTTGGTATGCAGGTAAATTTCTCAATAATTTTTTCTCATAGAGTTCATGACAATGGAAATGACTAATAGTCGTGGTTAGGCTGGAATGTTAAGAGGCTTTGTTGTTGCTATTTTATTTGCTTCCAAGTCCAAAATGAAATAGAGTTGAAAGGAAATTATATGGCAACAAAGGGTCTGACAATTACCTACAGGTTTTTTTGGCAACCTTTGTTACGATTACCGTATGGAAGCTTTTTTTTTGTTTGCCTCTTTTTATTGTTTAAGTTTTGTTGGGTTTGAGTTTCATTTTTTTTTTTATTGAAATGTAGTTTTTGCTATAATCTCTTTTCATTTGGGATGGGAAAAGTGTTGCTCTTTGAGTAGTTGCGTCGAACAACCATTTGTTTGTAATGGAAATGACACCTGAAGTTTTTTTTTTCTTAACAATTTCTCACTAAGAGACATGAATAACCTTTCTCTGCTATGTTACATTCAATTACCTAATAGTGCCTTTTTTGAAATTGGGAAGTTGAAGTCTCTTTAAAAACTAGAAGAATTTTATGTCAAGAGTGAGAATGATTAAATAATGGTGAAGCATACATGTCCTTGGAGCCAATGAACTTTGTATAAGTGCATGTCCTTAGCTAAACATGTGTGGCACATAATTCTCAATACTTACATATCTCGCATATGAACCATCATAATTTCTCACACCTATTCTTATGTGTGCGTAAACAAAAACTTTAGGTGTGATATATATATATATATATATATATATAAGAATTATGTGCTAGGTATGTAATTTTTTCAATTATTTGAGATAGCACTACTATGGTTTTTTTCAAAGAGTTTAAAAAACATTAACAAGGTTTTTACCTCTTTATATTAACTCATATTCCTCACAAAAGCACTCTCATTTGAAGCATATATGATAAGGAGGAAAATGCTTCTCAAATTAAAACCTTCACACACAATAATAAAAGCGAGGAAGATTTGCGTACATAATCATTTTTACATTCATCAAACATCAGATGGTATTTTATAAATAGAATAAAACAATACAAATAGCTTAAGGGAGACTTATAAAGAGAATGAGTAACTAAATGTCCTAAGTTTGTCATTACATTAAACCCAAAATACAGAAGTACAACACATTTGCAATTGATACAATAGCACGATACTTTTACAACTTCAACCTTCTGTAACCATAGTTTTTAACACATAAACACCAAACCAAATAACAAGATTTATAAATACAAACAAAATCAGTGCGTTATATTATCTGTCAAAAGGTGAATCATCCCTTTCATCAATCCATATAAAGTAGCTGCAGTCAAATTTTATTGAACTTTTAGGGCATATGTAAATTGCTCTCCCTCGATTGTTACCTTCATGAGTTGTAAACTCCGTGCATTAGAAATTGCAGTCATAATATACTTTGGGAAATCTGATGCCCTTGGAAGTTAATGATTGAGTTGAACTCATATTTCATAATGTGAAACTGTCAAAAAACAATTAAAATTTGTATAAGTATTAAAAAATAAGGCTAAATTTCATGGATGATGTGAAAACATAATTTTGCAGGCATTTACATTCATAGCACACAATTCATATGTTGATACATATCTCACAATTCAACTTTAATATTTAAGTACATAGTACTCAAATGTTTAATATCATGTAAAAATAATACTATTACCACATTTCCAAATTAAAATACACATTTTCTTGCACAACTTTAATGCACCAAAAATTTGAGCATGTAAATATGAAAGTATAAGTGAGAGATATGCAAATATGAAAGTATTGGAACAATATATTCTCAAAAGAAAGAAAAATCAAATCTCATAAATCTGAATGGAATATTTGGCTCCCAAAATCTCTAGCAAAAAAACTGTAAGAAGTTCCTTCGCACAATTATAATGAAAGGATCAATTGGTTTGTTTATGTCATAAATCATTAAGAATAGTAAATTTATAACTTAAAAATTTAAAATCCAACCTTTTTGCACTTTCATCGCTTGCACTTCTCTTCAAAAAGTAAATTTCAACATAATTAGTCATAAGAAGATATCCAAATTACATCACATGATTGGATGATTTGCATGATCATCTCATCAAAAGAAAAAAAGCCATTCAGTGTTATTAGAAGAAGCAACGAGAGGATAAAAAAAGCCGACTCAATTTTGTAAAAGCTATATCCTCATAATTTAACAGAAAGTATCATATAAATCACTTTTGCTCAATTTTGTTAAAGTTTTATCCTTATAAAGCCTCTTTCTTAAGTAATGATTTAGATTTTATAAGAAGAATAAATTTTATGGAGAATCCACAATGCCTCCACCTTTTAGAATTTATTATGTTGTCAATAAATCTAATACTCCTACATGAACAAAAGCACATATTATGATTATACGACCCTAAGAGCCAATCAAAATACCACCTTTTTTTTTTCACTAAAGTCTCTCATCAAACGGAAAAAATTCCCCGAATAAACATGATAAGTTGTAATATGAAATGAAAATTTGGTCAGATTAATTTTCTAACTATTTCTCCTTGTTCTGAAATGAGTGCACTATATGATTAATCAATTAAAACTTATATGGTGCTCATCTCAAAGCAAATCCAATGACTCTAAAGCCCATCCTAACCATTTTGAGTCAAAACTCCATGATCCAAATTTGTAATGAAAATGCAATTTCCATGAATAAAAAAGTAGAAATTTTTTTTTAAAAGTAAAATCAACCACGATTGTGCCAATTGCATTTCATTTCCACCCCATTTATAAATGTAACACCTCTAATAATTCAACAAACACAAGTTATTGAAGCTTAAAAACAACTTAGAAAAAATAAAAAAATGATTTTATCTAAGATATATTCTACAAAAAAAAAAAGAGTAATGACTAATTTGCACTTTTCATCATATCATTCTAAATTAGCAAAACTCATTAATCTATGGTTATGGAAGGGTAAATCATTGGTTGGCTAACACATTATGATTTGATTTAGTGCTAATTAGAAGAAGCGGCAAGGAAAAAAAATATAAAAATAAAAACATAAATATTGTAGATTCTACTCATTCGAAATGTATAGAAAGGAAAAAAAAATGTACTGCACTCACCAAAAATGTAGGAAGGAAGAAAGATACAATACTCATCGGAGAAAAAAGGAAGCAATGTCGCGGCTTCCGTCAAAGGAGGAGGGAACTCACTAAAATGTTATGAGGACTTTTCGCCCTAGGAGGAAAGAAAATAAATCAGTTCAGAAGATGAGAGTTGAGTTGCAGCAGAGGAGGAAGGTACTCATCGAAATGTAGAGAGCTTTTCGTCTGAGCAGAGGAAGCTTCGAGCCTAGGAGGAGAGCTTCAAGAGGAGTTTGTCGAGCTACGTGCAGGATTTTAGGGGAAATACTGAGACAACAATTTGAGATATTTCGAAATTCAAGCATATATCGTGTAATATCTGAGGATTGTTTTAAGCAGTAGCAGTTTCTCAGCTTTTTAGCTGTAGCTTAGTTGCCTCAAGATGCTGTTGCGGGAATGCTGTTGCGAGGAAGTTGGATGTTTATTTGTTGCAGATATTTGAAAACAGCTGTCACACAGCTGTTCATGGACACTGGACAAATGACCATTTTGCCCCTATTTAGTAATGCTGTTTGTAACTGAACAGTTATAGCCTCATAAATCAGAGAACCTCAAAACAAAACATAAATTTCTCCATCAAATACAGAAGTAGAGGGTGAAGGGAGGATGTATGTGCAATAAGATTTGGAAGATAATAATTGTTTAGAAACTATAATCAAACATTGAGTATAGAAATATAAAAGAAATTTAGTGGCATGTACGCAAATCCCTTCCTATTTATCTTGCCTTAGATTATGATTAATCAAATTTGTAAAAAAGGTTCATGAAACTCAAGGGATTCAAAGAATGAACGCAAGAAAAGAAAAATAAAAAACTTCAGAGAAAAAGAAGGCTCATTACCTCGTTGATGATTTCAGAGAGGAGCGAAAGGAAAAGGAGACTAGAGTTTTAATGCTTTTTGAAAGCCACGATCCCGTTGGTTCCCCCGAGTTAACTCCAATCACAACTACATTGCGAGGGTCCGATCAGGATGGCGATGGGTTTGGGAGAGACTATGAGATGGGGGGAACTGGGGTTGTGAAAGGGGAGAGCAGAGGGAATTTCAACAAGAGATGGGGAGATAGGCGAAGAGAGGCAAAGCGGGCTCGATCTGTAAAAAATCGAAGTCGAATGCGGGTCGCGAGACTCTTCCCGTAGCCGACGTTTAACCAAAAATGCTTCCAGTGATGCACTCTGGATGCGGTGTAAGTCCTCTCAAATGGGGCCTGTTTACTATAGGGACAGATTAAAAGTATAATTTCGGATGCTATCTACATAAAAAAACCTATCTTTTATAATTTCCTTGATAGCTTTCTAAACATTTTATTTCCCCCACCACCTTTAAAATAAAAGCTACGGGGTAAAAGAACGAAATTGCCGCTCGATCGCCTATCTTTTACTGAAATAAACTCGCGCAATTAAAGAAAGTACGAGACCACGGCTCGAGTGAAGAAAGAGAGCGTCCGGCGGTGAACGGGATGGAGAAGCAAGTGGACCGCTTGGAAAAGCGCTGACAGTAGCTGCGATTGAGAATTTAAAAGTTCGAAGTGATGGAGCTGCGCTCCGAAGAGGCCGTGAGATTGGTGTGGGAAGGGGCTATTCCTCTCCAGATCCATCTCCACGAATCCGAAGTCACAACTCTACCCCCTCCGCCACCTGTTCTGGTATATTCCCGTTCAAGATTTGGACCTTACTCTTTTAGTCACAACTCTACCCCCTCCGCCACCTGTTCTGGTATATTCCCGTTCAAGATTTGGACCTTACTCTTTTAGTCACAACTCTACCCCCTCCGCCACCTGTTCTGGTATATTCCCGTTCAAGATTTGGACCTTACTCTTTTTCAGAAAGTCATTGTTGCTTCTGAAGTCCAACATATGCTCCGCAATTTTTTATAACCTGTCAAGTCAGATTGGCGAAGAAATGAAAATGACTGTTTTTTTTGTTTTCAACTTATTTTATAGGTCGTTGGCATAGGTTTAGTTTAGACGTTTATACGGATAGTGATAAATGATATCAAATTTAACTTAATCTATTGTAATTTCCTTACTGGCCGTTAGGCCCAATAGATTTATTCCGTCCATTTATTGAAAGAGATATGAGGGCACTGACCTTTGTTTTTGTGGCTGAAACCTTTTTCTAGGAGAAGGAGGGGAAAGATAGAGATTGATTGCAGAGTATTTATTCTTCTTTGCCGAATTTAAGCTGCAAAATATGGATGTCAGACTTGTATACAAAGATTTAGCTGCTAGCGATAAGGTTCGGTTGACAGAATTGCTTCTAAATACTGAAGTCTTAATTTACTTTGGGCCTATGGAAAATTGTGGGTTGATGATGTGCTTTTGGTAGTTAGTTAGGGCGTATTGCGTTGGGGCAGTCTTCCTCTTCCAAGACAATGGTCTTGATCACGTGATTGTAAGCTTCAGAAAGATAACTTAAATAATTTATGATTATTGTTATTAAAGTTAGTGTGCATATTTTCCTTAATTTGCAGACTTGGAAATCTCTATGATTCATGGAGCAACATAAATGTGGATGTTATGGGGAGGTTCTGAGTACTCGAGGAGTAGTTTGGTGTGGAATATTATTTCACATTAATTAATCCTATTGAGAGTCGAATTAGATGGGTTGCTCAACATCTTCATCTCGTTGTTAAACTGAAAACATTGACATGTTATTGTGGTTAGAACAAAACTATTATATTGTCTTCTCCTTTCATTTGTAAGAAACATTGAAATAATATTCATATTTCGATGATATGACATATTAAGTTAATCCAATAGCTTGTGTAGCCTATGTTAATTTGTTTGATAGAGAGATTTTTTAATATGTTCTTATTGATGTGTTTAAAACATTAATTCTTAGGGATAACTCAGGCTTCTTATACTATGCCCCCTAAAAGGGAAGTATATTTGTTGATTTGTGTTTTAGGTGGATTCTTCTGTCATCATCATCCTCATAATTATTAGTTTTATCCAAATTACTTGTGGCTGGCTTTATGAATGTTGTTTCTCTGTGCATGCACATTGAGCGCTGCACAAAATTTCAACTATTGTTTGTGTAAAATTTGCTATGCAATTGCTAACCATCTTACCTTTGATATATTATTTTTCAGTCCAGCGGGGTCTTTCAATGGCCCTTCTCTATTGCAATGGCTTGCAAAGATTATTGAGGAGTTTCTGCTATTTTTTGTGGGTAGACGTTTATGGCTATCTGTTACTATTTTATAAGAAGAGAGTTGAGTTGATTTGGTTTGCTTACTAGCTCTACGATGGTTTAAACATGTGTAATAGCATTAGGTTGCTTAGGATAGGATGTATAGGGATGAAGGAGTCAGTTGGTATTATCTTCTTCATAGATTATTTAGGTTATGCTTTTTAAATTATTTTTAAAGTTCTAGGTCTAGAATATTTTAGTTTGATGGATAATTTTACCTACGTATAGGTTTAATTGGATCAATTTTGGGCTTTAGAGTTTAGTTAATTATTTACTTTGCTTGAGATTGGGTTCAACCCATATTTTTTTTCAAATTAGGTTAATTTAGGGTTATTTTGACCATATCACTTTGAGTGGAAGTGAAACCTATGGTTTGAATTACTAAGGGGCTATCCTATGTTAGGAATTCTAATGGCCGACTAGCTTATGATGACTTGGGCTAGCTTAGAAGGGTTTTAGAACTTGTTTGACTTAGTTTGACTGATTAAACAAGGTATATAGGGATTGACTAGTTTGATTAGGGTATGCTCAAGTCGAACTTGAGATGAATAAGTCGGGTCAGGGTTTGTTCCATCGAATTGGGTTAACTTTGTTGATCTAATTGGAGAATAGGTTGACTTAGTGCCTATAAGTGCTAACTTTGTCTATTTAGGGTTGATTTAGTTCATTAGGGCCACTAGGTTTGGTTAGGGTTCACCAATCTCGACAAGGTTACTTGAGATGGCTAAGATTCATTAGTAGACCTCTCAATCTATATTGACGTTAGGCTAATCCATGAGGTAAAATAAATGAGGCAATTTTCATCTAAACTTGGTTTAACTCATACTAGGATTGGCCTAGGCATATTTGAAGATAAGTTTATGCTAGAGTATGGTTTAAGACAAATAAAGTGGCTAGCAATGCGTTTAACTTGACAATTTTTTGTTCATACATATAGTTACCTTTTATAATAAACGTGTCATTGTCTTAGGTGAATTATTGGGCATAATAAATGATTAAGTAATCTTTTAGCCACAACTGGATTTTAGTCGGTGACTTCATAAGTTGCGTGAATAAACTTTGTGATATAGCTTCTCCAGGACTCCTTATTCTCTTGCTCAACATAAAGGAGAATATGTGGGCCTTGAGTAGCCTCTAAGGTCTCAAAATTGAGCATTGCCAAATTTGTCATAAGAAGATAAAATACTAGGAGGTAGCATAGAAGGAGTAATCGTTGTGCTGTTAGAAATACTCTGAACTCCAAGAAGAATCCGTAAGTGTCTAGCATTGTTGCATCTTTGGAGCATCTTAAGTGCTCTATTGGGTCAATCAGTCTCTCACTCTATTGGGTGAATTGGCTAAGGGAACTTGAACTTTGGAGACATTGGTTGCTCTAATATCTCCGTATTTATGAACATTTAGGTGAACTATATCATGTTGCTGATTGCAAGGAGTTATTGCTTTTTTATAATTTTTCTGGTTAGCAAATTATCTTAATAAGCTTACATGCCTTTATCTACCTTTTTTATCTGGAACAGTGTGCTAGGAATAATCAAATCACCATTTCTTATTGCTTGAATGAAAAAAACATGTCTATGCAAACAACTGAATACTTTTGCTTGAGTAGTTGTGTAAATTAACATGGTGTTTACTTGCGTTGATGTTTCTCTGGTACTGTATGGAATTCCCACTTCCATTCAAAGATGGAATGGCTTTGATGCATTTATTCTATTGTTTTCAGAAACTTCTTGTCTTCCATTCAATCAATACTTTCTTAATAAGAGCACCAAATGTGAGAACCAAAGATTGAATGTTCTACTTTGAGAATATTTTAAGGATAACCGCATGTAGATTCCTCAAGAATGTGAGAGCAAAGAACGATGTTCGAATGGAATTCATGTACACAATGAAAACAAGTAGATTTAAAAATTTTAATCTTATAACCTAATCCATTGTAGAGTGGGGAAAAGAGGTTTTACTAAGCTCTTAGGCAAGGTTCACAAACACTTGCCAAGAGAATAAATTTGGGAGAATGTGTCCCTGGATTTCTCTCCATTTTGCTTTATATATTCTGTTTGAAGAAATTATAAGCATTACGAAAAAGTTGTTGGTTGAATTGTTGCACTTTTTATGATAGACATTTTATTTTGTTAATTATTTTAAAGTGATGGTCTACTTTGGTCTTATAGTTAGTGCAAATACATTACCTAGTCCTAATGAATTTTTGGTTGAAACATCCTATCACTTGAATCCATCATATTGTTGCTCAAGATATTTGGTTGAATTTAGGATGAATCCTATCCAATACCGCCATGATGTGTATTTATAATTTGCACTCATGATCTTTTATTTGTGCATCCATTATGGGACCCATAAATGGCTTGGATTCGATCAGACAGAACAAAAGATTAAGTGGTTCTATCACTCTTCATTTTGACCCCTCTCTCTAATCAAAATAAATTTGAATAAGGATTGACAATCCAGTTAGACATATTTTTCATCAATACCTATCATGATTTTATTATTCATGATTGACCGAGCAAAAAATTAGTCAGCCCATATTGTCATAGAGCATAATCACTCTTGTATGATTCATAATAATTATAGATAAAAAATTGTATATAGTTTAAATCATCAAAATATATTATAAAACTTCTATGAAACCTCATTAAAAATTTATACATACCATCATTGTTTAAAATTGCCCAATCTGAGACACTCCTTAAGGCCCACCTCAACTCAATTCAACAAAAAAAATGCTTTGAGGTGCATACCTCAAGTAGCTCAAGCAGGGGGATGCTCTTCACATTGGTTGAGGTACCCTTTAAGGCGCACCTCACCTCAATTCCCGAGGCATGTGCCTCTCACATTTAGTTTTTTACCCCCATATATTAGATTGGACGAATACGAACCAATACCAAAATCTCACATGCAGAGCTTTCCTCTCCCTATTCAAGCTTCCCAGCATTACTGCCTTCTGTTTGCTACCGCGGCAATCGCTTGCTGCTCCTGTTGCCACTCCCTCTGCTTTTATTGCTATTGCCTCCAATTACTCCTGTTGCACTATTGTTGCCTGCTGCGTCAACTTTTGATTATTTATTATGTTCTTATTTATATTATAGATGTTATTATGTTGGGCAATAGAAGTGAAAGAAATCTACATTACTAAACTCATCTTATTTCTTACTTTGATATTTTATGTTATACTTTTATTTCATGTTTTATGATAGTTTGATGACAATCAATTGGTATTTACATTATATTTTTATTTTGTGCAAGTTGTTGCATAATAATTTATAACTTAAGCAATTTGTTATTTTTTATCATGCTAGAACTTTAATAGGTCTTTCTTTAATATAAATATAAGTTATGATGCTGATGTATTATTTTTATCCCATTATTGTTACTTACACAAATTTAAAACTAAGAGGCTTAAGCCTCACCTCAGGAATGGAAAACACCTCAATGCCCAATCACAAGATTTTAGACATTGAATGCCATAAATAGTTCTTGATTTATATTATATTATATTATATTTTATTATTATTATTATATATATATATTATATTATAAATATATATTATTATTATTATATATTATTATATTATATTATATTATTATTAT